AGAAAGCGCAACTATATAATATAACGCAAATTTTAAATTAAAACCCTCTTCACAATGCACATTAAAACGCTCTGATTCTTTAGAATTTTTCTGTAGAGTGATCTGCCCTTAGATCTAAATTTCAACTAGAGGTACTGGGAGCAATGAGCTCACTAAATGATCCCCCGCCTCCAATATCAATATAATGGAAGTGTCCATGTTTTGTTGTGGGAGTCCCAAAATATGTGTCAGATCAAAAAGTAAAATACGAGGGTTGATCCAAAAGTTCGTGGAATTTCTTTAAAAATTTATCGAGATTTGAGTCCATGAAATCAATCAATCAACAGGCATACTCATAATATAGAATCATAATGCAACAATATTGGAAAATTTCACCACTTTCCAATTACCAATAAGGTAACACGAGCTTTCAGAAAATGGATAGTTGGGACACCCGGGAGGATACGTAACGTCAAGTTAGATATGTCACGTAGATATGCTTATAGAAGCATCTCGACCAAATGTCCAATTTGAATACGTAATTCTACAAAATGCTGCCATTTTCTCAATTTTTTTTTTCAAGAAAAGCCTGGGTATCCTTTCATACTAACTTATCTTCATTTTTTCACTCATACCGAGATTTTTACAAAACGTGTGACGACTGAAATTTGACGTTGTCTAACAAGTTAAAGATGGACAATAAATCATCAACTTATAAACTAATATCCAGTAAAATTAGTAAAACTCTGACACAAAGGTTTATTAAAGATCACACAATCGTAATAATGACATAATTTCGGTTTATATACCACATAGGGCGGTCTCCCCGCATTTCCAAACAACCGTTTCTATGGCAACTGCCATAAAGTTACTATCAGAGATATTTAAAATGATTTTTTAATTTAAAATATAAAGTGTCTATATTTTTATTTGTAATTTTCAACCAATTCCAATTAAAAACAAATAAAATTTGAAGAAATTCCACGAACTTTTGGATCAACCCTCGTAGGAGGTGAACAATGGCAATATGTAATGAAGATTCTGTGAAAGTTTCATCAAATTTCATTCAGTGGTATGAAAGGAGTTGCGAATAAGGAATGGGAACCCCAAAGCGTAATAGACAGACGAACGGACGGACATACCGATTACTATATACCCTCTCGCTTTTCAAGCGGGTAAATTGGGTTCCTGAGGGAAAATGGTACATACGTACCACATAATGGAAATTAAATATATGTATATAAGCTCAATATTTGCACCTTTATTCAAATTATTTTTCTCAATGTCCCCAAAACATTTTGCATTGGTGTAGACATGCATGTATCCTGATTTATATAAAGAAATTTTGCAAATCCTGGACTAAAAACTTTCCAGATTTGAATGGAATTACCTATACGTTACCGATTAGGAAACTTGGTACTAAAAGTACGATTATTTGCTAACCGATAGGTCATTTATATATTATACAGAACATAATAACTCACTCTGATAAATATAATTCCCAGGACAACAAGGTTGGCTGATATGGGGTAGATATTATTCCCATGGGATCGTGATGAATTTTTTATCACCTCCAGAAATAGTCTCCTGAATATAAAAAAATACATTTTGGCAAGATTTAATGTAGTCAATAGCCGATTACTAGAACATGCATCACACTTTACTTCCAAAATGAATATTCTTTTCAAAAATAAAAAGGTGTAAGTGACTTAGCTGTTATGTACACATATTGATTATACTATATAGAGCTTTTCTAAAAGTGTACATCAAAGTACATGTTTGTTTAAAAAATGCTATATCGAAGGTATTCATAAGATACTATATACATTTATTATTTTGAATTCCTTTTTGATTTGACTTTCAAAGGTGAGAAATAAGTCAGGGTAATTAAGGTCCAGTTAATATTTTTATAAATATTTTTAGTAAATTATATAAAAAAAGGTAACATTATATAAAAATCAGCGCAATGTATAAAAATATTTTTAGAAAAAAAAATAATTTATTTAATTCAAAATTTAGAACTTGATATCACCAAGCAAAAAAGTAAGGTTTTGTTTTTTTAAACTACCGGTACTTACCAATAGATTTCAAGTTAAGACATACATCTATATTAAGTTATTGACATAACATTATGTATGAAATCACATGGTTACTACTTCTATCAAGAATTATTCAGGAACTACATACCATAAAGGTTTTCCCTGCATCGTTACTTTTTAATTTGTAAGACTGAAAAAAGAAATGCCAGTTAAATTTATACAGTTATAAAAATGAAAAATGAAAATCTTTGAAAGAAGGATATGGAGATAACGAACAGTATTCAATCTCAAAGTCCAAAAACAATACAAAATAGGAGCAGAGCAAACATGGACCCCCGAAACATCAAGGGTGGGATCAGGTGCCATGGAGGAGTGAGCATCCCCCGCCGACCCGGTCACACCCGCCCTGTGCTCCTTGTCATGATCAGGAAATAACGGAAAAAATCCGTCGTCAATTCAATTCAGTGTATAAATAATGGACTAAAAATTGGTATGAAAAACGTCAGTCACCATTTGACTCAATGATAAATTGTATTTGCTGACAAGATTCAAACCAAATTTTAAAGGAATAGAATATTTTGTTGCTACAATATTTTAGAAGATTTCCAGCTAATATTTCTAGATTCGTTCACTTTTCGTGTTTGTTGAATTTTGCTTTTGTGCATCATTTCAAAGAAAGTTTAACGAAGATAAAATAAGTCAGAATTAAGCAGCCCATAGAGGCAAGTGGAGACGATTTATAAGAAAAACTCTGATTATTGCTCCTATAAGAGGTTTATTTCAATTTTTTGAATAAGAGAAAGATCACACAACATTTACAGAATGACCTTGTGTACACACAGACAGATATGTTTAAAAAGTAAACAAGTAGATCTACATGAATACCTACTACTCAAACGTTCTTTTACTTCGATTCTCTGTGGAGTTTTCTAAGGCTGCACAAAGGCTGAAAATAGAGAAAAAATGTCTTGAACAAATTTAAAAGAAATTAACTTTACAGATCCATGCGCCAGTAGTTTTGATCAGTGAAAGCCTTAGTTTAAAAGTCGATCGAACTTTTCTTTTAATAAGACAGACAATTACTGTTTACTATTGAAAATTGATTTTAAACCAGTATAATCAAAATACTTTTAATGAGAAAAGAGAGGGGTTATTATTTCAATATAAGTTAGTTAAATTTTTAATGAAAATAGCCTAAAAATTGTAATCATCTGAAACGGCTATAAAAAGGATTTATAAAGCTTTCTTATACAGGAAATGGGTAAATCCAATGTGCACAATTTCTCTGCATTAGAATAACACTCATTAAAGTTTTATTTTTAACATTGTATGTAAATGATTTAAATTGTCTTTTTTGTGAAAAACATAATTTGTCACCCATCTTCATTTTATTTTATTTTGGGATTGGGCTTTCTGGTGTATTTTTGGTTTACATGACATAATATGGCGATATGGTATTTATTTTTCTAACTGGTATCGATAATTTTTATGCTAAGAATAAAAGTAGGTGTCTTCAAGAAAAGAGTTTTCATTGGTTTAATTCATTTAGAGAGATAAAATTTAAAAAAAAAATATTATACTATTCTTGCCTTTCGGACAATTCATCAGCACCTCTCAATAACCAAAACAACTCTGAGCAACTAAAATGTCGTGGAATTCTTCTTATAATTCTCGGTCCTATATACAAAAAAAATTAAAATGTTTACTCGAAGGATACAATGCAAGCGTCCCAATACGTACCTTAGCTTTCCAGCGATATCGTGCTCCTATTTATATTGAAGCATCACAGCCGTCGAATTCTTCCCTTCCACTAACATTCCATTGCTGAATGTCCTGGTGATCAGTTCGTATTCAAAAGTATTCAGTAGACCAGATAAACAGGGTGCAAATTGACAGAAACCAAACGAATGAATGAAAACTTACATTGTTAAAAAAATGAGAGTCGTTATAAAGATGAAACTTATTTAAATAACAGTCATACATGGTTTTGTGTGCATAAATACATAAGGGATTTAAAGTAAACCAAACAAAATTTAAAAATAAATCCTTGGATTCAATTAAATCTTTAAAACGGATTGTAATGATCGGCCCCTCTCAACCAGGAAGTTTGAAACATTATTGATTTTTAAAAAAGAGTGTACATTTTTCTACTTTATCATAAAAAAAGTTCAAGTACTAGTATATATTGAAACGGAAATTGGTTTTGTGATTTAGTTTCGTTTTAACGTTTTACCTACGTTCTTATATAAATTCTTAAACACTAAAAAATATTAATTCTCAGATCATACATGTAGTATGAAACTGCCTATTTACGGGGCTACTCTGAGCTACTACATGATGTATTAGGAAAAACTCAGGATACCTCTCTGGTAACGGAGTTGATAAACCTTGGGATGTTACTCCTCTTACAGACGGTCGTAAGACCTGAATAAGGCAGACGGTTGCGGGGGAAAGACAGCTAAGTGTTGTAGACAAACCAACTCGTAAGACCTGAACAAGGCAGATATTTGGTTTGGGAGAGAGGTGGCATACCACAGAGGTGGGGGAAGTGCCAAGATGCAGTAATAGAGGCAGGGCAAGAAGAAAATTACTTGCGGGAGACACCCGTTGACCACAGTTAGTGTTTGTCCAATTAATAAGAAACCCCATTGTATTACTTTATCGTATTTGTATTATAATTGTGTATATATTTGATTATATTCGTATTGGTCAACAAAAATCTGAGTTAACAGGTTAACGAACCTGAGTGTAACGCCGGGTGATACAAGACATAGCACCAAACACTAAGCTCGGCCGCGTTGCACGTTACAATATATACATGATATATGTAGAATGTTTCTTATAAATATGGAATTTAAAAATATATATATTTCTTTCCATAAATCTTGGGTTATAACACAGTACGTTTGAAACACGGAACTGATCATGAAGTGTCATTGATTAAGCTCGTATTCTGGCAAATGAACAGTAGCGATAGATGCGATTCCAAAATATAGAGAAACTATTAAAACTGCTCAAAGAATGAGAGGACTAATTTATAATTATTAAATAAAACTGTCATCTTTAAGAAAAAAAAACAACATAAGATTTATGGAGTAAGAGTGGTAGGATCAACACGATTTAGCAACACATTACAAAATTAATGTGTATTCTGTAGCACAAAAAGGGCACTTTTATTTATACTTATGTATTTGCATTTATATTGAAGGACAGATGATACAAACAAAAAATGGATGCCTGGATTGGCATTATATTTTTCCCTAATTTCATTGCAAATGATGCAAATAAATTTCTAGAGTATAAAGCAATTGTAAATCTTCTAAGGTGCTCATAACTCTACCCTACTGAAACCATCCTTATTATTCTATACAGATATTTTTCACTTCACATTCCATTGTTGTGCAACTTTGATTAAAAAATTAAAAACTACTCGGTGAAACTTATTCATTTTATTTATGAAAACATGGCCCAAGTTGTTGTTGTTATCAAAATTTTTGACAAAAGTTTGTATCATCTGTCCTTAATATAAAGAATTTTAACATAATAAACTGAGTAAACTCAAATGACCTAAAAATGGAACCAGTAAATACACACCTGTCATTGATCCTTTGCAAAATTATTTAAAAAAAAAACATTATAGTATATGAACTCGATCAGTGTTTGGTGACCAACGATGAGCAACGATGAAAAAATCTGCCAAAATCCCTAATGGTACAAATTGAACCCCATTATTTTCAGACCTATTTATATATTCATATAAAGCGGAATTTATTCAAACTTTTGTACACGAGAGAAAGAAAAACAAGTATATACTGACAAAACGTCAGAGATACTCAAGCTGTAGAAAGTCAATCAGGAAGTGTCATTAATATCCTATAATGGTATAAGATAAGGGCTATTGAGTTCAATCTTCTGTTGAATAAAATACATGTACATGAAACAAAATTCATATATTGAATTTAATTAGAATAAATATAATTAATCGTATCACTTTTTAAGATGAATTTACGTTTCACACTTTCAGGAATATTTTAAAGAGGATAGAGGATACATGTAGTTTCCGTTTCTTAATTTAATGAAATATTTGTTTATGTAGACATTTAATATACTTCAAACTATATATACATTTTTAAAAAATTATTTGCTTTATAACGTACATCACAACTTTAGGCGTCAGAACCGGGGGTGGGGGTGGGGGGCTTTTTTAGCAAAGATATACATAACATCTGTTAGGCAATTAAAATTAAGGTTTACGTGTTTTTGTTGGTTTACCCCCCCCCCCTTTTCAATTAGGCCCCCACCCACTTTCAGTTTGCTTCCGACGCCTATGACATTTTCAAAGGGGGAGGGGGGGGGGGGGGCGGCGGGCGGCCAATAATCCACAGGGCTACGGATTCATCCAGCTGTGTGGCATGTCCAATACATATTCCGTACGAATCCAAAAGAAGTTATATTATATTAATATAGGTTCCATGACCAAACTGACGATAATTTTATTTTTTAGAAAAACAAACGTACGTATGAGTAAGAATTTATCATTAATTTTTTTGTGCCATTATCTTATTGTCACTCAGTCACTCAAAGTACACATCAATTGCAGGCAAGTGATCGAGTTACTATGTCATTTTTTTTGCGGGGGGGGGGGGGCACAGCCAATCCATTTTCTGCCCATGCATTGTAGAATTTGTTAACGATGGGGTAACCTGCGTCACCTCTCAGAGTTACCAGTGGACTCGTCCAAGGATGCTTTGTCGGCGACTGAAAGTTACCTGTGATTCCTACGCAAAGGAAAGCGCGAAATCTCTGTATAGAAACTGTTGCGGCTGAGGGGCTTCACTCATTGTTCATTCGCCATAGAAAAGAATCCGACATTAAACACTTAATATCTATTAATATACAGAAGTTTTCAAGATAAGCTTCATTTTTGTTTCTAGAAATATTTTTATCTACCAAAATAATATATTTTTGTGTTTTAAAACTGAGTAAATCGATGACCTAGCATCGTTTTAGATAACTCAAGCCCCTCTAGGGCTTGAGTAAAAAACTTGCTTTGGCTTTCGACACTAGATTTAAATACATGTTTATCGGCGACGTATTATCAATTAACAGTACCCGGTAGTTACTTTCATTCATACATCAACTCGAAATATCCAGCGAGTTTGAAATAGAAGATATAACAGATTCTCACACATCTGTTTCATCTTTGAATTTTTACTAGAAAGAGAATTCAATGGTATTCTAACAATAAAGCTGTAAGGTAAACGTGATGGTTTCTTTTTTTCAATCACCAATTCCCTTACTGTTGTGATATGTGTATTGTTTCATCATGTATATTATTAGTAACATTAAGTTTCTTGAACATTCCAGAGTGGTCAATATGTTTGGTCATTTTTTCTAGAACATTCTTGAACTTTCCAGGAATATCATGTATTTACAATTTCTAGAATATTCTAGATTTATGATACTGTATAAATACCCTGTCAATTCGATGCATAGATAATTGTCGTATAAGCATCATTGAGGTATTACTGGGATATAATTTCACTGGGACATTGTGTGCAGCAACGGACACTCTGATGTATGTATTCTTAGATTCTTGCTAAGTTTGTACTTTATGTTTCATATACTTATTATATATTACTGTAAATAAATTATTGTTAAGTTTAATTTGTGTTATTGATCTTTGCTGGCATTTCGGGTAATTCTGACCCATAACAGAATTGGGGGCTCGTCCGGGATAAAGAATTTCTTGCACTTTTGCAGTTTATTGTCAGAATTTTGTTTATTGAACCGTTAAATTTGACTATAAGCCAGCAAAAATCAACATGGTATTTTCGGTCACAAACTTTCTTAGTTCGCCAAGTGTTCAGGTTTTTGATACGTTAAAAAGGATGACTTGATCGCATTAGGTTTGCATTTTGGGTTAGATGTTAAATCCTCTCAGAGAAAGCAAGACATTAGAATTAAGGTTGCAAACAAACTAGTAGAAGAAAACATCTTTAAAAAATACGAACTTCCAGAATATACAGTTAGATCAGAGTTAGGCTCTTATAAAATGACAGACTATCAGTTTCAATTAGAGTTAGAGAAAATGCGATTTGAAAGAGAAGAGCGAGAAAGAGATAGAGAAAGAGAAGAAAGAGAGCGTGAACGAAAATTTGAATTAGACAAATTAGCAGCAGAAAGAGAAGAGCGAGAAAGAGAGCGTGAAATGAACTTTGAATTAGAGAAATTAAAATTACAAAACCAACCAGAACCGTCATTTGTCAAGAATGAATTTGACGCAGCAAAAAATATCAGATTAGTTCCAAAATTTCAAGAAAAATCTGTAGACAAATATTTTCCCCAGTTCGAGAAAGTCGCAGAAAATCTTAAATGGCCACAACACGTTTGGTCAACAATGTTACAAAGTGTACTGGTTGGCAAAGCAGCTGAGGTATACTCTGCACTAGAGGTAGCTGAGAGTTCAGACTATGAGAAGGTCAAAGCAGCAATATTAAAAGCATATGAATTAGTACCTGAAGCATATAGACAAAAATTCAGAAAGTATAGGAAGTTTGATAATCAAACATTTGTTGAATTTTCACGAGAGAAAGAAGATTTATTCGATCACTGGTTTAGATCTAAGAAACCTGATAAAACTTTTGCTAATTTGCGCCAAGTCATCCTGGTAGAAGAGTTTAAGGAATGTGTTTCTCAAGATTTGAAAACACATTTAGAAGATAAGAATGTGAAAACTCTTGAAGTGGCAGCAGTCATATCTGATACTTATGCTCTGTCTCATGAAAAGAATTTTGTATCAAAATCTCAGACTAGCAGTAATTCTACCAATTCAGACACATATAAAAAGAGTGGTTCAGGGTCTCAGTCTTTCACAAGTTCCCAGTCTCCATCCCAAGGTGGTTCTAAGTCCGGTCCAGGACGTTTTGAAGGATCTTCTGGAATAGGGTCGCTTCCTACTTGTAGTTATTGTAAGAAAAAAGGTCATCTGATCAGTGAATGCTTTAAACTTAAGAGAAAAAATGACTTTGATAAAACTCAACCACATGCTTGTGCGGCAGTTAGAGGTGATAGAGAAGCCTTAGT